TGAAGAAATTTGTGGAAAAAATCTCAAAAATTTATAAATTTTCAAATCAGAGTATCATAAGATTAAATATATTAATAAATATCTTTTGAGACTACACAAAAGTTTCATTGGGCTGAGATTTATCAAGTGGATTTCATCCTTTAATTCTGTTTTTAATTGTTTATTAATATTTTGAACCTATGATACTAACCCAAAATCATTGATAAACATGGTCTTAGAAAACTACCACATGTCTTCGAAACTCTGAAAACTAACTTTTTGACAATAGAAAATTATCAAAATATCATAAATAAACGTTGGATGAGTCTATATTTAGCACTAGAAAAGTTCATACTCCATTAGGTCAAATACATGGTACCTCTTCAATAAGGTCATTTATTTTGTCTAGCTTGAACTTACTTTGCCACCGATGTTAATTTCAACAACATAATAAACAATTCTAACTCGTTTAACTCTCAAAATAACCAAATATATATATTTTTTTAAACTAAATAACCTAATGTTTCAGTTTCACAACGCAAAGAAGATTAAACTTACATAATTGAGAATAGTTAGAGTTTTTTAGCTTACAAGATGCAACAAACACTTGTATACAAAAATGAACGTCTAACCATCATACCAAAAATTTCATTGCATCGACGCAAATAACTTTAATCACATAGCTATTGAACGTAAAAATGACAATTATACAGGATACTAATATGAATTAATTATTAATAAATTTTATACAATCACAATAGTAGATTAGTAACCAATCTCCAAATCATGGCAAAGATGAGAATGAATCTTTGTGGAAGTTAAAAATTTTCTCTCATAAAAAGTAATACCATGGTTTTAAGAGAAAAAAACATAAAATTTTAGTTGTTCCTTAGTCGTTGTTATCGGCCACATAGCCCATCATATTTTAAAATTTACAGAGATTTTACAGTTTTATTATTTAATTAAAATTTAGGTTTCAAAATTTTGAAAACATGAGTTAGTTTTCAAATTGTAAAAATCTTATGGATTATTAAACAAACTCTCCCTTTTATTTTTCCTCAAATGCATTTTATCTTTTGATAAAAGCTGATAAATATCAAAATTATAGTAAGAATCATCCCTAAAATATTATAAAGACATCCTAAATATATTTTTAGCAAGGATTCCTTCATATTTTCATATTTAGGAAGATCTTCGGCAGATGAAAAGATATAATGACCTTACGTTGTATGATACCTCCAGATTCACAACCTGAGTAAGACTTGACATTGCACGATCTTTTCACAAACAAAACTGTTTCGCGGCCCAATCGTATCCACTCGGCTAAATGTGGATTGTAGCAGAGGTACCAACGCCAGATCCATAGATGCAACGCCCAGTGGCGGAGCCAGCCACAGTTTTCACCGGGGTCAACATTAAAAAAAAAATTAATTTTGAGCAAATGTCACCGGGGTCAATGAACTAATTTTATAACATTTCACTAGTTTTCTTAAGAAAAAATACAAGTAAAATTTTTTTTAATAAAAATTCATATGGGTCAAGTGACCCCCCTCCCCAAACGCTACCTCCGCCACTGGCAACGCCCATGGAAACCCGTGGATATCATACTTATCCTTGTTCTTCACGTTATTTTTTAGATTACTCTTAACAAACTTTAACAACAATTTGTATGCATCTCGTCCCCATGGGTAATTCATCAAAACATTGATATCTTGAGCTCTTTTGATGTTCTCAAAAGGGAACTTGTAAATCTTGTATCTCTGCAACACAATACTCTCAATGAGAAACAACATTTCCAAAGAGAACCCTTCATCTGCTACATTCTCATTCGTCTTTCGAAGATGCTTCTCCAAATCAGTCAACGCGTGTCCTCTATTCAACATATCCCATTGGTAATCTTGGTCATCTGTTTCAGGCTCTTGATAATCTCCACTGCATTTCAAGTCTGTCACCATACGAAACTCTCTAATGGAGAACCTCATAGGTCGTCCTGCATAGTGGAATCACAGCTCGTTTTTTTATGTCACAGGATTTCTGCTGAGGATATAATGCACAATTTTTGCTGAAAACAATAATCCATCTTCGCTTAATCCCATTTTTATCAACGGACCCAAAAAAGTGTTTTTTATCCGTAAAAACTCCATTGGCGAGAGTATTTCTTTTACAACATCTATAAAACACGCAAATTTATGTGAATATTTTGGTATTAG